CATAGACAAAACTGATGTGGAAGAGCTGTTGCTAGTGGACGTAGAGCAAGGGCTTAAGTAACCATCACTGCATTTCAATGACTGCCATAAAAAGCACCTTGCTTGCAGAATCAACTTTAGCATTCTGTTCCTGTCCTTCAAAAGACACATTTAATCTCTGGAAGTCCAAAAGACAGATTTTCAGCACTTTCTGAGATGAGCAAGAATCCTGTCTTGCTAATTCTCCACTATGTTTGTTTAATTTTGAAGGAATAATCTTTTACTGACTTAGTACCATTCAGTCTCCTTCCCACCCACTGCCCCACTCCATGGGCTGTCAAGGCATCTGAATAGAGCCTGGGGCCTCAGATCCTGCAAGATTTCAAGCTTAGGGATTTTAGAAGCATCCAGAAAGAGTTGTGACCTGGACTCTTGCAGAACAGTTAGTCTCCCTTTGCCTTTTAAGGGTGTAGGAGGCTTTCCAGCACCAGCCACCACCAGCAGTCCAGGTGTGCTGATCTGACACTCCTGTCACCTCCTAAAGTCTTCCTCCTATAGTCTGGGAACCTCTCTGAAGCTACATCTTTGCAAGCTTTCAAATTTAGCTTCCAGAGGATCATGACAGCCAAAACAAATGAATGGTTTCTTACAAAGTGTGTGCTACAATTAAAAGAAAAATAAATCCACGTTACTTGGACACGTCTCTACAAGAATAACAACTATTTGCAGGCAAAATGTCTTCTCTGTACTCCATTTCCTCATGACTACAGGACAATCCAGTCACTCTCTACCTCACTGTTCCTGCTTAATCTTCCTGGTAGCAAATGACTGCTCCTACAGCCTCTCAAGAGAGGTATCTGAAACCACCCTAGACTTAGCATCCTCTTTCAGGGACAACTTCAAAGTACCACAAGGCAACTTGTGGTTTAGCAAAAGTCATAACACTCTCAAATTAACTGGAGAAAAATTAATTCCCTGTGCCACAGCCATCTTCCTGGTGTAAACTCCCCTGCACTGGAGCCCTCTTGACAGCTCTCCTCCTGGCAAGATCCAACTCTTGCAGCCAACAGAGAAACAAATACAATGAAGTGCCCAAGCTCCAAGCTGCATCCCAGAGCCCCACTGCACAACAAACAACACAGTACAGCTTGCAGCAAGACCCCCCCCCGGCAAGTTTCCATTCCACAGACCTCCTAAATCAAGTACATTTACAGGGATATTTTTAGTCCCCCCACTTCCATTACTGATCATCATGACTAATCACAGTAACAAGGGGAACACCCAAATGCACCTCAGGATTAAGATTCTGTCTGTATTTTCAGTTTCAGGACTGCTCACATCTCAGATCTGCTCCTGTCCCAAATATCCCTTAAGGCTCTGCTGCCCATCAGCAATTCCTTACCTTCCTTAATCACACACTTACCACATTTCCTCTCCACCCTTAACAGCATTTCCACAGTACTTTTGTTTTCCAGTTACCATTTTCAGCAGTGTGGCTTTCAGTTAAATCTTTGTTTAATATTAAAGCCCTTTCCAAATATTTAATATGAAATTAACTTGAATCCAACTGGGGAGAAAACAGAAGGATACATTGGTTTAGTGAAGTATTATTTCAGACAAGTAAAAGACACTGAATAAAGATTTTTAAAAGGAGCAACCCAAGAAATCTTCTGTAAACTGAAAAAAAAAAGAAACACAAGGATGAGAAATTTTGTATACTGGACAACTTGTGGTTGGATCACAGGTAAAGTAAACCAGGACCTTGATAACAAAATTTCAACCCCAAATATTTTACTGCTGTAAAACTCCATGAGATAACTGGCAAAGGCAATTTTCCACAAATCTGTAGCACAAAAGTGTACACTTTGAATATTGAACTGACATATTAGAGATTATTAACATTTCCCAACAATACAAACCCTCCATAGAAACTGAGAAATCCCAAAGGATAAATCCAGCTAACTAGTGGAACATCTCAGGAAAGCTAAACCCATCACCCATCTTGAAGTACTTACCACAACAATATTCCTGCAAAAAATTCCACAGCACATAATTCCAACACAAGCTGTCACTCAGAAAATGCTGGTAATGAGAAATCAAACAGATGAAAGGGTACTGTTAATTGAGTGTTTAAATTGGTCATCCTGCCTCCTGTGACCTGTATCTAAAAACCTCCTTAAAAGTTCAGGATTTAAACTTTAATAGATATTATGTCAGATTGGCTATGTTAGAATATTTATGTTTTAAGCAGCAATGATATGTATTAAAATCTCAGTAGCTACAGGCAGTGAATCTGCTCTTTACTGCAGCTTCCACAGCAGACTAATTGCATGAATTCAGTGAACACACGCAAGGTTAAAACTTCCATTACTCCAAAGCATAACCCTGAAAAGGACATGCAGCCTCTTTATCCCCTCACTGATATCAGCACCAAGAGGATTTCCTAAGAGGGTGGGACTGTTGACAGTACTGGCCTAAGACATAAACCTCTACTGCCCAGCAGCCAAGAGCCTGCCCAGGTCAACACTCTCCCTGTGAAGGATGTAGTACTTTGGTGTTCTCCATGTGGAAGAAGGCAGGTGGGTCCCTGCTTCTGAGGGTTAGAAATATGGAGAGGGATGCTAAGCTGATGTATCTGCTCTTTCTTACTGATTCCAGACTGCAGTCCAGGTTGCTAGACCTACCCTCCAAGGCTGGTCCCAGAGGATCTCTGGGTCTCAGCCATAGTTTACCTGTGGTTTTGCACCTGCACAACCCTTGATTATCTACAAACTAATGAACTCTGCAAAGTGCCTCATTCTCCATGTACTTCACCACAATTGAACTTAACACCAAGCAAGCTTGTTTGAGGGTGATTGGAAAGAAGAGCTTGGCAGGGACTTGTCTCATGGGTTATTTTCCAGGCTCCCCAACCAGTGGGGAAGAGGAGGAAAGCTCCTTATCTGTTCTCCTAATTCTCTAAATGCAGAGGTGTCTTTCTCGTGTTCCCTTGACATGTTCATTTCAAGAACTCAGCTGTCATGTCAGCAACAACTCAAAGCGGAAACTTAATTCAGCTAAAATGTAAAAAGAGATCCGTTTGTGGAAAGATCCCTCTTTCCATAGAGAGTAAGAGACTCTTTCACTCCATCTTCAACAAACAGATTGGCCTGCCACTCAAAAGCACTGGACCAATCCAACTGTTCCCACAAAACAAGCCCAGAACATCTGCATCTTTGTAGTACTGAAGCAATGAGTTTGACACACTCTGGCCAAGTCTGCCACACTGAACAAGTCTCCTCTCCACCAACACTGCAAGCTGCTGTTATGCAGATCAGAACACTCAGCTTCCCCAGATAAGGTAGCTCCTTCCTGGAAATGGAAGACAGAGCTGCCTTATCTCAGGAAAGGGAAGGTAAAAGGTCACTCTTCAATAAGTGGCGAAGTTCTCACCTTGAAAGCTTTGCCCTTTGATTGACATGGAACAACCAAGGTCATGGAACTTTTAATCAGATGCCTGCATAATTACTAAATCGTTACTAATTATATCAGAGAGCCAAGACCTCAGAGGAAAGGCAAAGCAAACAAAGAACCCAATGAAGCCTCCTCTGTTGTTGGAGAAAATTGGTAATTAAAAGTCATGAGTGCACCAAAGGATGAGGGAACAGCATCACAGTCACTGTTCAGGACTCAGGAGTGACTTGCATACAAAACAGCAGGCTCATCTCCCTGGGGAAATTACAGGGTACTGCATTACAAAGCAGTGAGGAGGGAAAAAAAGGAAATAAAAGACAGAGAAAGGCCACTCCTGTCTTATCAACAGTTTTATTTGCCCCACAGAGAGGGACAGCACTGCCAACCAGCCCCAAAGTTGAGAGGTGTTTCCACATGTTTCTGGCAGCTCCAGAAAGCTTCTCTCAGCCTCATATCACGAAGGGTTCCAATACTGTGCAGTGCCCAAAAGAATTACACCTTGTACTCAACCCAACCCAGCCCACACACAGCCCTTGCCCAGAAGCCCCTGCCCAAAGATTATTCCAGCATTTATTATTATTCCAGCCTTTATTTCCCTCAATGTCCTGAGCTCAGCCCCAGTGACTGCTCTTTCCCCAGAGGCTGCCTTTCAAAATATCTCTATCAAAAACTGAAGAACTTCACTCTACCCTTAAAGAAACCCCCAAATCTCAAAAGAAGACAGAATGTCACGGTCCTCCTCACACCATAATAAATCAAACTAGGTAGTCATGATCCCCCCTGAAACCAAAGCAAGTGTTTTTGCTTATCAGGCTATGAGAAGACAAAGGCTGATCTGTTCCCATACCAATAATATAATGCCATCTCAGAGCACTGAGACATCAAAGATGGCATTGGATGGAAAAAGGCAGCATATTATCCACCACCATTTGCAGGCAAACACAAGAATCTCTCTGATCTGCTATATAGGCAGTCTTACAGATCCAACCCCAAAGATGACCATATGCAAGAGGTGCCAAGTCTGGGCCAAACCCCTGAAGAAATGGGTTCAGATGTATTATGAGACTGTGGCAAGAAGAATACTCTCATGCACTCAGCCCTCCCGACACACAAAAAGTGCAAAATACCAGAAGCCCAAAGAGAACAGTTTGTTAAGTCCCACAGATCAGAACAAAGAGACATTTTCTACTTCACTGCTTCAAGCACAATGACTCAAAAAGACATATCTTCAAGATACTCTCAATAACAAAGCCTCCCCTTTAAAACATGAGCAAGAAGGAATAAAGGATAATGGCACCAGAAGCAATAATGCAATTTGTGAGACTCTACCACTGAATAAAAAATTAATAACCAACAAGCTCTGGCCAACTGCAGCCATTTCATTATGCCTCACTTTGACAGACCTGAATCCAATAAACTTTTATTGAAGTGCATCTGGTCCTTTTTTATTCCTTTTCTGACCTTCCATTGCTTGCCACTGCAATGAACTTTCACTGCTGCAACCTGAACATGGCACTGTTTCTTATTGCTGAATTCAAGGCACCCAAGCCCCTGTGAGAGCACTTTACCTGTTGAATATATCACCAGACACCTTTTGCAGGTACTGAAGTGCATCTGCCACCTGCTGAACAGCCTCCTCCCTGCGTAAGTCCGGTTGGATCAGGGGGACTGAGTATGTCTGCCCCTCCAAAAAGTGCTTCTGGGCTACTGCAGCCATTGTACCTAAAGGAAAGAGCAAATAGATCATTATTAAACACACTTCTATTTTATCACAGCATTTATTCAGGGACTTCCACTTTCTGCTCCCCTAATTATTTTAGGAAAGCATTTGCAACAGAATTGGTGAGCTGTGGAGAACAGCACAAGGTAGTAAGGTTGACATATTGGATTTTTAATAAATTCATGACAGCCACAGTGAGGTGGAAGCCTCTTGCTTATCTGAATGCTCCTGGGAACCATAATTTTATTTTTTGCATGCTACTTAACAAATCTCTGCTCAGTACTGTGCTGAAAACAAAGACCACACTTCAAAGCAAAGTCAGTTCAGGGTGGCAATAAGATTCATCAGAAACTGCTCTGTCCCCTCCTCCCATCCTCATATTCCCTGTGGATATGTTCCAGGTCATTCAGCCTTATTGCCAAAATGCAGTATTTCATCTTACACTTCTGCTCCATGAAACACAACCACCACTTCCTTCCAGGAAGAGCAGCCATGAAATTACAAGGCATGCAAGTGCACACACCCCCTTGCTCCAAGTAGGCTAATGGGAGTTCTTCCATTCTGACACTCCCAGGAGCTGTTTGCTGCTTCTGGTGGCTGGCTTTTTCCTTAGTAACTATCTTAAAAGAAGCCTCCTTATTTTAGGATTCTTTTGTTTACAAAACCTAAATGGTCACTGACACGTTTCAGTTGTGTGCAACACATGCACCAGAGCAGTACACGTGCTCTCAGATGCAGCTGGGCCCAAACCACTGCTCTGTAGCTCAGCCAAGAGAAGGCTGTGCATCACTCATGTTACCATCCGGACAGCCTTGCTCACCTCTCCCTCAGCAACTCCCAAAAAATCTGCCTCCTACGTTTTTACTCACAAAAATGACAAAAACATTCCCAGGACATGGAGGAGGGTAAAGAGAAAAAAAATTCAGTTTCTCTAAGCACATTAGAAATTGCAAACTCACAAATACATCACTGTTAGGATAGTCCAAAGAATGAACAGAGTAGAGTATCCATAGGTTTCTAACCCAAACTCTACTGTTAGGTCCACACAACTCTCTTCAAACTTATTTTTTCTGTGTCTTCTCATTCAGGCTGTAAAAACCCCACAGATTACAGGTGCTCATTACAGGGTTTCATCACACAGAGTGCTGTACATTAGTATAAGAAAGTATTCATTAAGCTGAGGAGAAGCAAAACAAAGAAGGATCAAAAAGCAAGGCATCAGAAACAGACAGGGATATCTCAGGACACACCACATTCCCTGTGTGATACCTGGAGTTCTGCAGGAGCTAATCCAGAGAGCACTGCTGTGTGCAACCTGTATTCCTGCCTGTATACTAGGACAGACTGAGAATAACACAGAAACACAGCCCATACTGGAGAAATTCACAGAACAGGAGCCTGAAGAGACAGTCACAACATAAAACAACAGTTTAATATGTGAAAATTAGAGGAGTCTTCACTCATTCTTTAAATCTTCTATCTTGCTTCACAAAATGAAAAGATAACAGATTAGACTTGCCTGCAGCCATTCCTGTACATTTAAGAAACACCATCCACCCTCTCCAAATTTGTCCTTCCTGATCCTACCGCAGCAGGGTAGGGAAAGACTCTCTGTAAATGTGATGCGGCTGTTATTTTAAGGGCGATTTTTTTGGGACGCGGGGGTTTTTTTGGGTTGTTTTGGGGTTTTTTTGGGTGTTTAATAATGAATCACATGAGATTTAAGGACACCTAGTAGCCTTTTTGCAGTTAGATTCGCAAAACCAAGCCTAGCCAGCAGAAGAGCTGGCTCTGCTGAAGGAAGCCTAGACCTATTCTGTTCCATTTCATGCATCACTGGCAGCCAGACTCTGTATCCGCACTCTTTAGCGGCAATGTTTGCACACTGATTAGTCTTCTTGACTGGGCCTACTCAGCAGACAGGAAATTATTATTTAGAGCTGTAAGGCACACAAGTTAATCAGAGAGGAGCACAGCTAATTTTGAGACGGCATTTTTTTTGATCTGCTGACCACAATCGAGCTCGAACCCTCTTCCTTTCAAGTCTCCTACCTGACTGTCAAGGCGGAACAAAGCGAGCGCACAACAGAGCGAGGGCACGGTGATGAGTTACTCTGGCTCCAGCAGCAAAATGAGTTTATGATCCTCCCTGCCACTGGTCACAACTCTTCCGTTGCATTCAATGCTGCTCATGTTGGGGATGCCTATTTTTAGCTCGGATCAGTTCAATGACCCAATTTGCTGCAGCCAGATAAACAGCTGTAATTGCCCAGTCATGAAGCAGAGTGGGAAGCAGGGGCGAAAAGGGGACTTCTAAAACTTGCTGCATTATCAAAACCATTCCTGTGCAATGGTAATCCTGAGAAAGCCAAGCTTTTCACCTCTTGAGGCCAGATAAGATTATATATGATCTCTCAGACTCTCACCAATCCTAATTCTCCCGGTGACCTTCCTAAAGCCAAGCTCTGTTCAGTTGCTGACTGAGAGATGCTCACACGTGGAAGCAGCACATCCATAGCTACTTCCAAACTGTTTCTTTCCCTGCAATCAGAAGCTACAGACTGTCCTCCAGGTCCCACTGCCACTGCTGCCCTGCAAACAGAGAAGCACACAGCAGCGGGCAAAACAGGAAAATCCCTGTGTGCTCCTGCTCACACTGTCAGAGTTCATCTGACAGTAAACTTCAGCTTCACAGGTTCTCAATGCAGCCTCTCAGCCGAGCTCCAGATTCTCACCTTTGCTAAAAAAAAAAACCACACTGGAGAAATGTGGCAGACTCTTTGGGAACTGCTGTAAGAGACAAATACAAGAGATAATTCTTTCTGTGCAAGGAAACGAGCTGGAGATTTACAGCAAGAAGAGGAAAAACAGCAACACCTGAACGACCAGACTCAGTCCACAATGCTGGAATTATGGTGGCTGATATGAAATACTCAGATGCTACAGTGAGAGAGGGCCACGTGTGCCCAAAGCAAGTATGATTCACAAGAGCAGATGTCAGATCACTCAGGAGATTTAATCATTAGTGGTGTGACCACCTATGGGTCAGAAGAAACAGCAATACAGAGCTTTTTTTTTTTTTTTTGGTGATCAAAGAGGCTCTGGAAAAAAGCTGCAGCATCTGGGGCTCCATCCTCTCTTTATTCAATTATTTTTTCTGTGTCAACTTCCATGATCAAGACAAATGTGCTCTGGTGTTATATAATAACCTCATTTACCTTATTAAAGTGCAAACAAAGAGAAAAAGGTTGTTTTCTCACTGCACCACCTGCTTCCAAGTGCTATATCCTGATTTGGAAGCTCTGACTAGAGTTACCAACTGCTCAGATTTGCACTTCAGCCTTTAAGCTGTCTGTCCTTTCACCTTAGGCAAGCTGGTGCAAAGCTCATCAAGGCTGGTGGCTCTCCCTCTGCTTTCAAAGCTGCTCTTTCCCTCTCGATTCCAACACTCACACTGAGCAAAACAACAGCAGTGGGAAATGCAAAATCAGCCTCCACCAGACTGTCTTGCCTTTCCAAAAGACTTTAAACCAGGACAGATACAGGCTGAGCACTCCAGGGTTTTCAGGCATCTGGAACCAACAACTGGTGTTACTGCTGAATCATTCCAGCCAAGTGTAATACTCTGATGGCTGTGCAGAGATTTGTAGCTCTGAACCTGGAAAATGAAGTACAAAATTCACTGCTCTGGATAGGCAGAGAAACATTCCACCTACTTTGCTCACCTCTTGCGTTACCTCTTCCTGGACCTAAGAATAAAACTTCTTATATTAAGGCTAAGCCCAAGAGAACTTCTCACAGAGCAAACAGAGTCTGTAAAAGAAGCAACACTTCCCAAAGTTCTTCAGAAAATACTGCACTATGGAGGATCAACCACTGAGGTGATTATCTACAAACAAAAAAAAAGATCCCCCCAACCTTAAAATACCTTATTTTTTCAAAGGAACATAAACAAAGGCAATATCAAGAAAACAGTTTGGCTGCCCTCAACACAGGCAGGCTGTAAATCTACATATAAGCACTTACCAGATGTGTACTTTGTTATGAAAATAAAGGGAGAATAAGGCAAGCCATCAACAATACCTCCTTTCTTAACATCCTTCAAGAGACTAAAAAGAGAGGGCTCAGGGGAGAAGAGGGATTAAATACTTTGAAAACAAAATCAGTGTGTATTCTTCAAAGCTACAAAGGCTGCTTTAGCAATTACTTGCTGCTGCTTCTGTCCCTGCACTGGAAAGGCAGCATGAATTAGAGGCCTTTAATTCCCAGAGGCAGTAACATCTCCAAAAAGAAGTGTGAGGTTGTCTCTAGCCCTGTGTCTCTCCTTTGTAGGATCCTAATAAAAGATCAGTGCCTTGTAGACACCTGTGAGGATGCAGAGACCAGCAACATGCAATAAGACACAAGTCAGCACAGCCCTCACCACACACCACTACACCACTGCCACCAGTATGGTTCCACAGTGGGAACGAACAAAGCCACAAGTGAGCTGCTGGTTAAGATTAAACACACTCAAACAATGGAGCAGAGACAGGCTTTGGGCACAGCTTATCAGAAAATGCTGCCTCCTCTGATAGAGGAAAGACACATCCATAACTTGGTTCACAGTGAGAAGTCATCCCAAATTCCTCACTGACCGTAACTTCTTACACATAACACCTTCTACCACGTTCACCTGGACAAATGTTTTCCTGTGCTGGCTGATAATAACAGACCTCTGTTATCCTCACTTTCCTCTGCTCCAGTCCAGTGTGCTACATCACAACACCTGACTGTGGCTTTTAGAGCTCCAAAGGCTCCCAGTTGCTACAATGTCTGTCGTATGTCACATCCCAAACTTCTACTACTGTGCACTTAACAATGGCACTCTGTAGTACTGTACTTAATGGACTACTACATCATCCTCATTCCCTACTTTCTTCATGGGCTTCCCACAAAATTTCATGGTCAAATCTGCTGGTGTATTCAAGTCATTCCTTGGTTACCCTAGAGGCTTGCCTACAGGCTATCCCAGAAAAATATCAGAATCAAATCCTCCAAGGAAAGAATAATAATAATAAAAAAGATAATTGTATCACCTTGCCCTCCACAGATAAAACACAGTCCTGTGAGTTTACCAGCTGCAAAGCCAGAGAACCATATTTAAAAAAGAGACTTGAAGTCACAGAAAAGCAAAACATGTCATTGCACATGCTCCTCCCGTTAAGGGACAGGACAAAGCAGTGTGTGCATATGCACTTGCACAGATGTAGACACACAACTGGAACAAAAGCTACAAGTTTCTCATGCTCTGGCTGTAAATGCAGCAAAAGAGCCTCGACATAAGTCCTATTTTATTGTGCAGCAAACGATTGCTCTGCCCTGTGTTCACATTCACTGGAGGGGTCGAAATTTAGTCGTCCAGCAGAGCACACAAGAGGTAACTGGTACCTCCAGCAGTGAGATGAGAGGTTCACCACAGTCCCTGTGCTAAGCCAACTTTAGGTTTTTTGGGAGAAGCAAGGCAGGGGGAGGAGAGAAGCACTTTGATAAGTTAAGAGGATGAAAAGTCTATTTATATTTTTTAATTAAGCATGTTCTACAGTGTTATTAAGCGGCAATCAAAGATGCAGATGCTACTGATTTGATTGGCAAGAAGTACGCTGTGATGAATATTAAGGAACTCTGCCCCTATAAATAGGTCTAATCACCATCTGAAGGCTGGAAGGCAGTGATGAAAGAAAGCATTAATAAGACCATAATTAGGCCCCATAGCAGGCTGTACTCCACCAGGGTGCTCATGTTACTAGACGTGTCTTACAGTAGCAGCCTCAAACTCCACTGTAGACATTACTGCTTTGGGTCTCAAGACCTCTAGTAGCTATTTTAGATAAAGCTAAGAAGAGTGGGGTTTCTACTTCTGAAAGTAGTATTTAAGTATTTAAGGCAACCCCTACCCAAGAAGCCAGAGCCTGCTGACACCTTTGGCTCAGACACTTTGCTTTGAAAGAAACAGCAGCAATCACAGCTACTAAAGGCAAATGAAATCTGCCAGCAATGACATTACTGACAGGGAACTAAAGGCACATGAACTGGGTGTTTTCTCACCTGCAGCATTACCTCTTGGATCATGGGAGTGTGGGCCTGAACCAATACAACAACAGATTAGATGATCATTCTCAAAGGGAGACTCTCCCTAAAAACTACTCAGAGCCACTTAGATTTGTTGGTTTGTCACATACTGCCCTATTCCACTTAAGCTTAAGAGAAAGAATCAAAATTTGAGATCTCAGAGCCCAGCTTTACAATAGCATATGGCAACTCACTGGCAAATTGCAAAATACCTGACATTTAAAGATGGATCAAGTATAATCAAATGATATTGACTCTCCAGAAGACAGAATGCTATTACATTAAATTTTGAAGAGAACCTGAAAGGTAGAGACTTAAAAGAATTTAGAGGCGCACTTCAATCCTGCCAGCTCCATAAGACTGCCTCTGAGCCACTACTGTCCTCAGGACAATCCTCTCAAGGCAGAGCTCTGCTTTGAGAAGCACAGACAGCATCCCTCACTGCCATGAGGCACCGAGCTGCATCACCTTGCTGAGAAAGTCCTGTCCTCTAAGCACAGGCTGAAAATTATTTCCTCCAGCTGGATACATAAAGCTCATTTTGATGGACAGATGTTCATATCTTAAGTTAATCAGATAATCCCCTCTGCTACTGTCACCTTTGGCTCTCACCACTAATGGAGACAATCAGATGCTCTAATGAACAATTGATCTGATTCTAAGCCATCTACAACTGACCACAAACACTCTGCTAATTGCCTGCCTTCCCTTCCTCTCACTATTTATTATAAAAGAAGACTAAACAAATAGCCTAGCTACAGCTAATATACAGACATCAAAAGTAAAGCTGAGAATCTCATCCCAAACATCCAGACAAAGCTCTTCCCTCCACTTCCTAATAGACCACCTTGGTTTTGTATGCCTAACGTACACAGGAGCCACTGGTTAAGCCAGAAGTCCCCTGGAGGGCCATTTCCCTGCAATAAGTTCTCTTAAACACTGGCATTCCAAAGCCAGAGTAGATGGAACGCTGCTGTAGAGCCTCCTGCAGAACGCCTGGAGCTTCTCGTTCTTACTATCGGACCACAGCAAGAAATACTTACTTCCAAAAACATAGCACTTCAAAAAAAACCAAACAAAAAAACCAGGTAACTTTTTCCTCTAATTTTCTGATGCAAAATCAGCTTCAGCCTCCTGCAGAGGACCTTAGCTGCAGACATAACCATTGCCACATCTCTCTGCCAGGAACCCTAACTCGCAATGTCCTGTTTTTCACCTCCTGATTCAGTACCCTCTGCTCCAAAGTTCTGGAGTTTTACAGCCCCCAGACCCCACACACAATGTTACAGTGGATCCTTTAATGAAGGAAACAACCAAATCAAACTGGCAACCAAAGTAGTTCCTGCCCCTTTTATACATTCAAAAGCAAAAGGAATGTTTGCACTTCTGGAAGAAGACACGAAGGGACCTCATTATATAAGGAATGTCTTCAAGCCTGTTCACATTTGCTGGAAGGAATATCCCTACAGCGAGGCCTGGATGACAGGAGTTGATGAAAAGCTGGATCAAAAAAATGACACCTGGATGGACTATTTTTTGGTAAAGGTTACCTTGCAAAGGGGTCTAAGCAGAGCTGATTAGCTACAGAAATTGTTTTTTTGCGTGATAAAAATTATTCCCTTCAA